ACACAACTGATAAGAAAAAACTAAGAAACATGTTATTTCAACAAAAAAACATCAACTATGAATTGTCATGCAGGGAATTCTGGGAGTGTCAATTTACAGTTTTTCTCTGTAAATTATACAATGGCTTTTTCTTTTTCACTTCCAAAAACCGTATTTTTAACAGTATTTTACTGTAAAATTACATTAAATGTAATTACATTTATTCACCGTATATAGTATGGAAACTTACTGTTAACCAGTTAACAGGTTCTTACTGTAGCATTTTTACAGTCTTTTACTGTTAAAATCACAATCATTTTTACAGTGCAATAAGCAAATTAGGAGTTTTTTTAGGCAAATGTGGCAGTTAATAGTTAGTTAATAGTGAGAGCTGGTCCCCAAACTAAAGTGTGACCATAATACTTAAACACATTATTGTGGTGTTTGTTGTACACCTTTGATGCTGACTTAAAGAAAATGAGAATTTGAGGCTTGGCCATAAAATAGGCGTCATTTTCTTTATAGAAAATACAATTTATTTGTATTATTCTTCTCATTTTTGGGATAGAATATGTTTAGTGAGATTCATGAGTTGGGCTGTAAACAGTCATGCAAACAAGTTTCATGCTTCACGACTCAAGTTTCTTTCATTCTTTAAAGTTATCTTTGCACCTTTGCCCTTGAGGGATTATTTACTCCTGTAAATGATTAACATTTTTGTTTTTTTATACGTATCCTCCCACTCTCTCTCTTTCCCTTTTTCTCTCTCGATCTCTCTCTTCTATATATGTTTTTTATGTGTGTTCTCATAGCGTTTAAACATATATACTTCTAATTATCAATTTGCAAGTGTAACATTTATTTTCACTCAAGTAAGCAGTTTGTACCATTACTTGTTCTCTGACCTTCAAATGCACATTATGGTTTGTCAAAGTGCAGTGATCATGTGTATCAAAACTTGAGGTTTTACAAAGTTGCCAAATTTTGAGATTATTTGGGGTGTGAGGGATTTGTTGTTCCTTACAGAATTGAGGCTAAGTATGGGGCACCAGTTGATACTTTGCTTCATTATTATTAAACAAGGTGACGATGATAAGAATTTATAAATTCATATACAGTGAATATGATATCATCCAGTCATACAGTACCACATGATTAAAGACAATGTAATTACTTAATAAGTGCAGTGTTTTTTTTTTTTTTAAATAGTCAATAGGCTATCCTTTAGTTTATATTTGTGACCTATTCATTGCTTTTTGCTTATATGGGGAGGGACATTGTCCCTGTAGACAAAAATTTGCATGTGAAAGATGAGTCATTAAATATTTTTGGCCAATTTTCCCAGAAGAATCTTGAAGAATGTATGCTAAAAGTGTTGTTTGTCAACTTTTAGGATTGCACTAGGATGTAGATGAACTTCAAGCTAACAGGCATCTCATTTGTATAGGTATATGTAAATTAAGATTTAACTTAGTCACTCTCAATTTTAGCCATTTCTTTTGTATTCAAAATCCATTAAAAAAGGAAGCTCTGAACATGTACTGAATGTTGGTGTTTCATAATATTGTTGTAAATCATTTAAACTGTGAGATTACACCATCACATTGCGCATGTATCACACTTTACACCATTCGACATGAAGAAAACTTCAAGTTCCTCTTTTATTAACATTTAGTTCTCATCTTTGTTTATTTTTCTCAGAAATATATTAATAGTGAGCTCTGTGACATAGGTGTGCAGCATAGTGATGTGATTTGAAATGAAACCGACACGCCTCAGATAAAATATTAAAGAACCAAAATATGCTACTTTGAGCTGCAACACTGTCATTAAAGAACCATGCAAGATTTGTGAGCCATAGGATGAGTACCAACGTCATATTAAGAGTCTGCATCATCATTCCTGTTACGGAACTGCTCTGAGACTGAGTGAGGATCCAAATGCAGTGTTTATTAGGAAAGTCCAGAATCGAAATCAGACAGCAGGCAAGGGTCAACACACAGGCAATCAGTCCGACTAAACAACAAGGCAGAGAACACAGGCAAAAGGGTAATCCAGAACACAGGCTAAGAGTCCAAAAACCAAGATACATATAACCAGGAGAACCGCTCAGAGATGCAGTGTAACACTTATAAGACTTCGCAAAGAATGACAAACTAAACCAGACTTATATAGGGTGAGCAGACAGGGTAAATGAGACACAGGTGCAAACAGTGAGTGTTGATGAGTCCAGGCAAAGGATTATGGGAAATGAAGTCTTTGATGTAGTGGTAGAAGTCTGGGATGGACAGCTAGAGATCGTGACAATTCCAAATCTGTACAATTGGTTTTTATCTCATTGTAATGTTTTCTATTTTCAGGGGAAACGACCACAATGCCCAGTAACTCTACAACTCCCAGCCCAGTAAGTAGATTCTCCTGAGGTGTAGTCGTGTGTTTATTTCCTCTCTCCATATATTAGCCTGAAGTGCATCATCTGTCTAGAAATTAAAAGACGTTTATTTCTCTTATTTGTATCTGATCAACTATTGGCCAATATACTGTTTGTTTGATCTTTAAGAATCAGAGTTTCCCAAAATTGAGAATAAGAAATTGAATCTGAAAACTTAAGGTAAACTAATAAGTTGGGAAATAAGTTGTTCTTCTTGGGATTAGTAAGATTTAGTAAAATGTTTTGAAATAAGTTTCTTATATGTTCACCAAGGCTGCATGCTTTGATATTTGATCAAAATACAGTAATATTGTGAAATATTATTACAATTTAAAATAACTGTTTTCTATTTGAATATATTTTGAAATGTAATTTATTCCTGTGATGCAAAGCTGAATTTTCAGCATCATTACTCCAGTCTACAGTGTCACATGATCCTTCAGAAATCAGTCTAATACGCTGATTTTTCTGCTAAAGAAAAACAATTCTTATTAATATCAATGTTGAAAAAAGTAGCTGCTTATTATTTTTGTGAAAACACTTTTAAACAATTTTATGCATGCTTGGTGAATAAAATGATTAGTTTCTTTAAAAAAACAAAACAGAAATAATAAAAATCTTACTGACATTTATGTTTATGGGTAATTCATAATGATAAAAAAAATACTGAACATATTATTAAAAACGGCACCAACAGCAGTTGGTGAAATTAAAAGAATGAATTTTGTTTAATTTCATTCCATTTTACTATATCCTCAAATTGAAATGTTTACTGCATCCGGTAACACTTCTCACTTTTCAGTGTCCTTGTTACATGTTATAACTATAGTAATAACAGTAAATTATGCATAATTACATGCAACTAGCCCTAAACCAGTCCCAACCCTATAGTAAGTACATGGTGTTAATTAATATTATTCAGCATTTAAACATATAATTATGCTGTAACAAGGACATCTTAAAATAAATGTTAACACTGGATCTTGCTTGCTACCTCAATTTAAACTCTATTACAGTTCTGAATTGCCTTGGAATGAAAACATATCACAATATTTGATTTCTTTATGCGATCAAGTCCGTGTTTAATGCAGTTTAGCATCCTGTTGTACTGCTTCAGTTGATTAACGCTCCAACTTTTCTTTGTCCAGGGCCCTAATATTGTGGCAATTGTGGTACCAACTGTGGTCCTGGGACTGCTGGCTATTTTGACAGCGGTTCTGTTGTTTCTGTTCTGCGTGGTGAAGAAGAAGAGACAAACAGAAGGGACGTATCGACCCAGCACAGAGGAGCAGTCAGGGGTGCGTAGTGTAGAGACGCCTGACGCTCTGAAACTACCCAAGGAGGAGAGACTGATTTGACACACTGGTTTATGACTAACCTACTGCACATGATAACAGCGACTCAATTCCAAAATGGTTAAACGGATAAACATTAACTAAGGAACGTTTCTGAAGGCACAAGGCACAAACTTAGCCCTATGTTTTGGCTAAACAAAGCGAGTCTGACTACTTGGAAGAAACTTGAAGGAACAGATTCTCTCTCCAAAAGGCAACATATTGATCGGCACGTGCAGCTCTCTAGCATTTTTTGCCATTTTAGCCTGGTAGCTTTTGTCTGAATACTTCATTTTGTGCTGTGTTACCTGTTTTAATGGTTGCGTTACACATACAAATGCTGATGTTTGTATGTAGTGTTAAGATAAATTTAAAGGTGAAGCATGTAATTTCTGCACCCCTAGTGGCACAAAACAGAATTGCAGTTTTTTTGTTTTGCATTCAGAATGGGCCAGACTTAAAAGGGATAGTTCACCCAAAAATGAAAATTCTGTCATCATTTACTCACCCTCAAGTTGTTCAAAACCTGTATGAGTTTCTTTCTTCTGTTGAGCAGAAAGATATATTTTTTTAAATGTTGGTAACCAAACAAGTTGACAGTAGCAACTGACTTCCATAGTATGGGAAAAAAATACTATGGAAGTCAATGGCTACCATCAACTTTTTGATGACAAAATGATGACAAAATTTTCATTTTTGGGTGAACTATCACTTTAACGGCATCAGCTAACCAATGGTGTGAATTTGGGGGCGGGACTATCTGTTTGACTGAATAAGGAAGCTTGTTTAAATTAGTCATTATTTTTGCATTTCTGTTTGTTGGCACTAGATTATGCACACTACACCTTTAAATATTTATCCAAATCAATTTGCTCACAATATAAGATGTTCATGCTCTCATATATGTTTGTTGAAACCACTTCTCAAATTATTTCAATAGCTGTATTTGTCTCGATTTACCTCAGTAATGTTTTCTTACCTATATAATTTAATCTAATATCAATTTTCCAGAAATTTGATCAGTGCAACAATGAATTCTACTTGGAATCGTTTTTGATTCTTTTATCATTGCATGAATGTTTACACTCAAATATTTCATGCATTCTGGTTCACTGGAGTGCCTTTTCAAATTTCAGCTTTTTAGAATCTGTCAAATCGTGCCGTTTATGTTTAAAATTAAAAGTCACAAAGGTCGTGCTATATTGTGAATATAATCACTGCTAATGGGTTTTGTTAGGCACAACACTCACTATATTTACAATACAGCACGGCCAGGTGCCTTTGCTTTTATAAAACGGTTATTCCATTTAAAAAAAATATTGAGGACACAGCACAAATTTTCATTAAAACATCATATTATTTAGCTAATTCATTAAGTGTTATTCTTCCACTGAAGATGCAGTCTCTAACATCATAGAATGTTACTATGCAACAAAAATAAGTTGCTGTGCCGTGATATGGTGAACAGGTGTGGATTGTGAAATTTAGCAGGACTGTGCTGTGCTGGTCATCTTCTGTCTTCCGTTTGTATTTCCACAGCTGAAGGTAAGGTCGTACAAATGTATGAATGAACCGCTCGTTTTAAAATCTTCCCAGTGACTGACATTTGTTATGACATCTGCTGTACAGAGCTACCATTAAAACGGAAGTTCAAAGACAAAATTGTAAAGACGGCTGCTCACTTGTTTCTCTGACGCATGGTCTATTTACCCATTGGGCATTATTTCTTTATACACAATAGTGGGTGCAGCTATTTTGTAGCGTGTCATCCGCTTACAATTATTTGTACAAAACAGTCTGTTATTCTGCTCGATGTTGCAAGTTGGTATTTGTTATCACATTATTTTATTATTGTAGCGCAAACTAATTTACTGTTTACTGTTATTCTTCTAATTATTTGCCCAGCAGCTAATGAATCAGAATTCTTGCACATTGGCAGAAAATAGCTTACTTCTGCGTTGGAACTTAACCCCTTAACACCAATCCACATCTGTTGAAAATTTGTAGCTGGATAGGTGTAGGCTTCTTTGGAATTTTATGACATTACATAAATGTCCTATGAGTGCTGACACTACAATAATATCTGGGTCTGCATGGAGGAGTATCTTTCTTAAGAAGCATAGTAGAGTAATTAGTCAGCATCACTTAAGGCTGTCTCACAGATTTTCTTGCCAAGAACATTGTAAGAGCTTATTGTGAGGACTAGATCTAAGAAAAGCATGTTCAGCACGTTGTTTTCAGGAACACTGCTCTCTAGTGGTCTAGTTTGTCTTTCAGGCAGTTGTTTTATGCTGCCATTTTCTTTGGTTTAACAAAATACAATAGCAACAATGACATACTGTGCATTTGAAAGATAATATCAGGAAACTAATAATAAATTAATTTATGATCTCAATATTTTTGACTTCAGGGCCCCAAACATTGACAAAGACAATATTCAAAGGCTTCAGTTGCAATATATTAAATAATTATTTTAAAAATCTAATTAAAATATAACTTTTCAAGTTGTTTGCGATTTCTACCCGACGAAATATTTTAAAGCTTGACATAACTAGAAAAATGTATATTTATTCCCTCATATATCCAAGTTTTCCATGGTTCATAAATAAAAATGAAAGTTGTTGAGGGAACAAATTTAAATAAGAAATATGTCAGCTCACATTTTGGTTTTCAGCTGTTTTAGCTCATTTTAAAGCTTCCTTTGTCTTATTTTAAATAATTAAGCCATTCTGTGTTCACCTGGTTGAGAACCACTAATGTTAATTAAAACATTCATAGCCTAACCAGGCCCGTAACCAGCTATGAGGCCACCGAGGTCCGGACCTCGTACATTTTTCATGTTCAAAAATAAAACGTGTTATTTGAATGACTAATTTGATGTTAAACTCCTCATTTGGATGCCTGCATGACATGTATAATTCAGTTTAGACAGTTTGCAAAAATGTTTAGCGTCCCTGTTATGAAAATGATCGCTGCGAGACGCTGGCGGAGTGAACGAGGTTTGAGAGAGCTGTGAGGGCGCGGGCTCAGTGTTGCCAGATCCAGCTATTATAAGCGTTTTTGGACTTGTCTTTTCCACTTAATTTAACACTTTATAAAGTTAATAAAGTAGGAAGGTGCAGTTTAGAGTAAGCGATATCTTTATCTTATCTTATTTTCAAAAGATTGGAAATAATTTCGGGTTATTTTTATTTATATTTAATTTTTTGTTTGTTTTAGTATCAATATCTGGCAACACTGCATCGCCGGCACTTAAACTGAAAGCAATCAAAAAAGCCCATGGACAGGTTTTTGCTGACATTATACGAAATTCGGTAAGGGAAACGCAAACATTATCATGATATTATCATAAACGTGATCAACGCTGTCGAAAACATTTAACACTAGTACACACAGATCTATAGAACAAGTAGGTTACAGAATGAAATGAAATACGCAAAAACTAGCCATGAAGAGGTCTATGCCATCATTGCCATGTCATTCAGTATAGTTACATTTTCACAAATCATGCTATAAACTCATAAGAGCACTAGACAAAGTTATTGTAGTTGTGTATTGTTGCAATAAACAACTGATACAATTATCCACCCTTAAATATAAGTATTAACAAATTTTGAAGCAATAAATAGGGTATGATTTAAAAATAATCATCCCTCCAAAACATAGAAAAACATCTTTCACAAACATCTACATGTCTGTCTCCTTTAAAGTGTTTATAGTGTATATATAATGAGTGACATTAGAAAAAAACAAAGCAATTCAGATGTAGTAGTAGCCTTCATTCAGAATGACACTGACAACTCCAAAGAGGGGATTTGATGGCGTGCATTCACAACATTCAGAAACACAAAACCAAACCAAAAGTTCACAATTCCTCAAAATGTCACTGGTGGGGGTGATGACTGTCATTGACGGATACTGAATGTAAAAACCCATTCATTGTTCTGGAGAGCACTGGTCTGTGGTGAGAAGGATGAAATGTGGGGGATGGAGTGGAAGGAATACTATTTCGGCAGATGGTTGCGATTTAGGCGACCTCCTCCTCGCCCTCCTCTTCGAACTCGCCCTCTTCGGCGGTGGCGTCCTGGTACTGCTGATACTCAGACACCAGGTCGTTCATGTTGCTTTCGGCCTCTGTGAACTCCATCTCGTCCATGCCCTCGCCGGTGTACCAGTGGAGGAAAGCCTTGCGCCTGAACATAGCGGTGAACTGCTCGGAAATGCGCTTGAAGAGCTCCTGGATGGCCGTGCTGTTGCCGATGAAGGTGGCTGCCATTTTGAGCCCGCGGGGTGGGATGTCGCATACGGCGGTCTTGACGTTGTTGGGGATCCACTCGACGAAGTAGCTGCTGTTCTTGTTCTGGACGTTCAGCATCTGCTCGTCCATCTCCTTCATGGACATGCATCCACGGAAGACGGCGGCCACGGTCAGGTAGCGGCCGTGACGGGGGTCGCAGGCGGCCATCATGTTCTTGGCGTCGAACATCTGCTGCGTGAGCTCGGGCACGGAGAGCGAGCGGTACTGCTGGCTGCCTCGGCTGGTGAGTGGAGCAAAGCCGGGCATGAAGAAGTGGAGACGTGGGAAGGGCACCATGTTGACTGCCAGTTTGCGACGGTCGGCGTTGAGCTGGCTGGGGAAGCGAAGGCAAGTGGTGACACCGCTCATGGTGGCTGAGACGAGATGGTTGAGGTCGCCGTAGGTTGGTGTGGTGAGCTTAAGGGTGCGGAAGCAGATGTCGTAGAGAGCTTCATTGTCAATGCAGTAGGTCTCGTCGGTGTTCTCAACCAGCTGGTGGACGGACAGCGTGGCGTTGTAGGGCTCCACCACGGTGTCGGACACGGTCGGGATATTCTTCACGGATCTTGCTGATGAGGAGGGTGCCCATGCCGGAGCCAGTGACTCCACCGAGAGAGTGGGTGAGCTGGAAGCCTTGCAGACAGTCGCAGCTTTCTGCTTCCTTACGAACAACATCCAGTACTGAGTCCACTAGCTCTGCTCCTTCTGTGTAGTGACCTTTGGCCCAGTTGTTTCCAGCACCACTCTGACCTGCAATCATTAAAATTTAGCGTTGAAAGTCCCTTTCAAGAAAAGGCCATATTTTCAACACCAGCTGTTTCAGGCATCCAAGACCAAGATCTATCTACTCGAATGGGCAGATCCAGAAATCTCAAAAACTGGCCAAACTTACATTTGCATAACATAATTCAAACAAGCAACAACATCTGGCACATACTGTCCAATAAATGGTGTTTCTTGTGCTGAAATAGCATTAAAAAAGGTTTTCAGGTTGGTAAAGCCAACGTGCAACCAGAGCTTCTAACAGCAGCTGGTGATGACTTTAGCAATGAGCGAGTGGCTCTTTTATTTAGAAGGCGGGACTTATTGTGCCATACTGTGTGTTGAACTTTCTCCCATTCATAAGAGTGCACCATCACCATCAGTCTTCTGACAGTGATTTGCAGGCATCCACCATGTCAAATTTGAACTCCTTCTTGCATCCAACAGAAGAGACCATTTAATTGCTGTCAGTGTGGATTCATACCTACTAAGTTTGTAAAATTATACTATAGCAGCATGTGATGGAAATACAAAGGTACTGGAAAAAAACATTTGATGAATGATTAGCTTACCAAACACAAAGTTGTCAGGTCTAAATATCTGTCCAAAGGGTCCAGAACGAACTGAATCCATTGTTCCAGGCTCCAGGTCCACCAATGGCACGGGGAACATACTTCCCACCTAAACAAAGAGACGGATACAGTAGGTCATACTAACCAGACATTTGTTTCAATGTGCATGCAAATTTCTGTGCACATGCAGTGGTTTAAAAAGCCTGAGACCACAATGTTGGCTTATATTTCGCATTACTAAAAACGATACAAATCAGTATTTTATACAAATCAGCATAATTATTGAAAATGAATTTTGGAAATTTGAATGAATGGTCTTTGTGTCCTTCTTTTGCTGTAATGATAGCAGCACTCAAGCTGTATGAAGTGTGTGTAAAACCTAATGATCATGTTATCCATGACTGAGAATGATTCAAAGAGTATCAGCTTGGGTTTTGTCATTTTTAAGTGCAAAGGAGTTAACAATGTGACAGTTTTGCTTACCTTTCATTAGTGACTATAAAATAATAATTATAATAATAATATAATTATAATAATTATAAATTTAATTATAATTACAAATAATTATAAGTATCTGTTGTCATAAAAATTAAATGTGAAAACTTAATTTGCACCTTTACAGTGTTATTTTAGTATTATTTGTATACTATTATATTTTGTATTCATATTTTGAATGAGCTTTTATTTTTATAGATTTGTCCTTTTTTTTAATTTCATTTATGGTAATTTTGTTATGTGCTTTTGTCATTTTAGTTAAACTTATTTCAGTTAGTTGTCAAGGCAGCATTTCTCATTTTTATTTGATTTATTAGCTTTTTTATTTGATTTATTATTATTATGATTTATTTGTTTGTTAGCGATAAAAGCACTGCTTTTACGTCCCAGAATTTCAGTGTCACCTTTGGATCCCACTAAATATTTATGCTGTCATCAAATATGATATTTATTTAAATATTGCATAAAGATGCTGACAATTCTTGCTTCTGCAACCTTTATGATATTTAAAAAAAACTACCTGTGGCCTCATTGTAGTAAACGCTGATCCTGTCTAGCTGCAGGTCGCTGTCTCCATGATATGTTCCGGTTGGATCAATGCCGTGCTCATCGCTGATAACCTCCCAGAAGTGAGAGAGAGAGAGAGAGAGAGAGAGAGGAGGAGGAGAGACAACAGGGTGGAGGCCAGAGAGAGAGAGAGGGGGGAGGGACAGACGGAGACAGAAAAAAACGAAAAAAGAATAATATTTATCTCGTTAGAAAATAAAAAAAAAAGAAATAACGAATGAAATGAGCATAAAATATGTAGAGTTAAAATTTCATTAAGGATAAAAAAATACTAAAGAATAAATGATGCTGAGCAAATAATTAAATGCAACGAAAATAATTCTAGTATATCGATTATTCACAATTAATATTGTCATATACTTGTTTTAAAGAACGTTTCTCTAACTTATATTTGGAATCGTGTGGATTATGTGCATTTTACGGATTCCAATGAATCCGATGAATGTGATGTTATTTTCTTTCAGCGATTAACGAAATATAGTCTAGACTCGGATGCATACATAAATATAGCCTATTATAGGCCTATACATAAGTAGCTAATGCATTTTTATAGGCTATACTTGCTAAACATTAAATACCAAAGTAGAATATTTTATTCCCGTATGCTAATTAAACGTAAAGTAGGTCATTCCGGTAGATAGGAGGAACCAATTCCAACAATTCAATCTCATTACTATCAAAAATTAATGACCCTGAAGGTATACACAAAGTCTAACTGTAATAAATGTGCCAATTGCATGATTATCACAAATAGAAAAGGGGGGAAAAAACAAGGAACTTTTAATTCATTCATTCTCCATCGTACAATGGATGAGACGTTTGCACGCCCAATGAAAGCACATCTCTGCGCACAACGCACCGGCTGTCTTCAGCTCCAAATCAGACAAATGCGCGTTTAAATCGTGCATGCAGTTGACAGAAGCTGCAGAATGAATCGAATCGAACCGAACTGCAGTGCATTTCTAGAAGATTCAACGTTCAAATATGAGCCCTCCGTTCTCAAAAAGCAACATTATTGGTGCATTTTACCTTGGCTCCGATCTGGTTGCCGCACTGGCCAGCTTGCAGGTGCACAATCTCGCGCATGGTGCTGCAGGAAGGACAATTGCGGGGATGCAGGAATCGAGGGCTGTCTTCTGCCGCACACAACGGATTGAGACGCTTTTTCTGCTCGTCTCTGTCGCCCGCCTCTGAACTCCGTTACTGGGCTGAACTTGTGGTGCACGATGACGTCATCGCCATGGTAACCAAGACCGGAGGAGAGAAGGAGGACCTTGAGCTCGTGGAGACACCGGATAGGATGCTGCCTGTGATTTGGACGGAGATGACAGGCGACTCTCCAAGGACCACTGACTATAAAGACATGTCTGAAAAATATTGCAAAGGGAATGGAAAATGGCTTCTCATTACAATAATAAACTATGGTACTACCATGGTATTTTTATGTAGGATGCTACACTGGAGCATGAGATAGATTGGTGCTTGATCAGTGGGATTTTCAATGGCTGATACTAAATTATTGGTAACATTTTGCAATAAGGTTTGTTAGTTAACATTAGTTAACTACTTTATGAATTAAGAATGAACAACACTTTTACAGCATTTATTAATCTTAAATTAATCTTAATTTCAACATTTACTAATGCATTATTAAAATCAAAAGTTGTGCTTGTTAACATTAGTTAATGCACTGTGAATTAACATGAACTAACAATGAACGACTGTATTTTCATTAACTAACATCAACAAAGATGAATAAATACTGCATTGCTCATTGTTTATTCATGTTAGTTAATACATTAACTAACATTAACTAATTGAACCTTATTGTAAGGTGTTACCAAATGATTATATCTGGTCCTGGTCCATCAATCCTATTTTGATTCTTTAATTATTATGTCTTGCATTTCAATTCAAATACAGCCTTGCTTTAGACGGACATTTAAACAGACATATGATCTATGTGCTTAATAATCAATCATAAGAAGTCCGTTTGGAGATATATATGGCAACGCCATGAAACCATTGGAAAAAGCTTGTAGGTTCCATTTGGAATATTTTTGAATATATAATTTCCGTTGGGTTTTATCTATCTGTCTGTCTCTCTGTCTGTCTGTCTGTCTGTCTATCTATCTATCTATCTATCATCTCATTTGTATTGCATTAAGAGCATTTATTATTATTATTATTTTATAATAATGCATCATCATTATTATTATTATTTTATAATAATGTAATGTCACCCAGTTAGGTAAAATATACTATATATACTTTATGTGCTTATTTACTATACAATATTAATAAAATATTAAATAAATAAATAAAAATAAAAATAAATGTTATGCCTATAAAATCAGATCAACATCATATATGCCTATGCACAACATATCACAAACATATAGCTAGAAAAATCTGAAAAATTCGGCTATGCCTATATAATACACTGAACTGGTGTAGGATTTACTTTGAAAATATTTTCACTCAGAAATTGCTAGTAAATTTCACAAATAATTACAAAAAACCCCCATTGAATTAAATATGAAATTTTGAAGTAGAAACAGTATTTTCCTGTAAAACGTACTCCAATAATTTACAATCAATCAATAGGGTGTTAATTTTTTTTGGCACTGTGCCTTTTTCATGACAATTAAGCCCAGACTCAAGGCATTTTATAGCTGTCATTACAATACTTTGTACTGCATTAGATTAATTCCTGTTATAATTTTAATTAGCATAAATTAAACAGCCCAACACCAAAACTACCATGATATGTGAGAATCACACAATTACAATGTAAACAATTAGAATGATTGTTTTGCATTACAGTAATGAGATTTGCATGTGCGTATGTCACAATGCATAAGTACATTTATACACATTATCTATTAATAATGTATTTAATGTGATGTATGGGAAGAAACCACACCTACTATTCAAATCAGACTGCGGGAACATGCTGAAGGATGTGGATCAACTACCATCGGCTCTCGACATCGTTCAAAACACTTGACTTCTAGTTTTACTAGTTCAGTGTGCTTAGACCCCTCCTTCTGTACTGATGCATGTCAAGACAGACTGAGCTCCACGAAACCAGCGGAGTGAGAACACCTCAAACTCAACAACAGCTTCAGCTGCGAAGTCTAACGCAGACTACAATCCCTCCTGTTAAAACCCCAGTACCTGCGAGAGGACATGTCTGCAAACCTTCCCGAAGAGGACCTCTCCTGTCCCGTGTGCTGCGAGATCTTCCAGGATCCAGTGCTTTTGCCGTGCAGCCATAGTTTCTGCAGGAGCTGTCTGAAGCACTTTTGGGAGAGCGCGATCTTTCGTAGCTGCCCCGTCTGCAGAAGAAGAGCCTCCAAGAAGAGCCCCCCTTCAAACCGGGCCCTCAAAAACCTGTGTGAAGCGTTTCAGCTGGGCAGAGGCCAGGGCAGTGCATCTGGATCGAACATCCTGTGCTGGAGACATGGGGAAAAGCTCAAACTCTTCTGTTTGGTGGATCAGGAGCCTATCTGTGTGGTGTGCCAAGCCTCAAAAATGCACAAAGGTCATGACTGCTCTCCCACGGAAGAGGCGGCTCTGGACTGTAAGGTAGAGTTTGACAGTGCCACATTGTTTCGACAAACTGTGTTACATTGTGTCGTGCTCAATGCCGCTGTTACTGATTTACAGCGGCAGAACACAAGAATGCTGTTTATCAAGTTCACTTTGACATTATCTCAGTGTGTTCGGCCAAAAAGACCATGGCAGGCTTTCAAACAACACTTTCTGCATTCCCCTCCTTCAAGCTCCCATTGTGGCATAGGCGTCCTATTGTATTCTGGGAAAATGTGATCAACTCCTTCCAAAATGTGACATAAATCTTTCAGAGTATTCTTGCACAGTTGGATCAGGGTAATGCATGGAGAGAGAAGGTTGTGTTGAAAAAGAAAGGCTTCATTTGTTTTAGTTCGTCTGCAGTGGTCAGCTGGTGGGTTGTAGGTCTGTTCTGAAAAAAACAATGCTCAATGCAAATACAATGCTTATCACACATAGTTTGGATAGCACTATAAAGAAACATATTAGCTTTTAAAAAGGAAGACAAAACACTTCCCAAATCTTTTGATGTTAACATAAAAAGGTGTGCAACCAATCAAATTTAGGTGAAAATTAAAGCATATGACAACATGGACAATTTGTGGTAAATGCCCTCAACCATTAAAAACCATTCTATTAATTATTACGTTTTTAAGTTCAAGTGTTATTTTAGTATCATTGGGATACTATTATAGTTTTTTTTATATTTTGCATAAGTTTTTATTTTTATATTATATTATATTATTTATACTTTTTCATTTTAGCTAAACTTAATTTTTATTCTTATCTTTAGGAACAAAGTTAAACATACATATTTGTTCATACAATCTTTGTGGGTCAACATAGCTCACTAAACATGAAAAATAAACACATTTATTTAACAAACCATATACAAAAGACATCCACATAGGGAAAAAAAGAAAAAAAAACATAAGAATAAAATAAAATAAATATTACTTTATTTTAAATTATTTTTATTTGATTAAAATTTGTATTACTCTTTCTCTCTCTCTATATATATATATATCATGATAACTAAAACAACAAACACACACACACACACACACACACACACAGTGGGTATAGAAAAGAATCACCCCTCTTTAAAATCATATTTTGTTGCTTTGCAGCCTGAAATGAAGACGGACACAGTTTTTGTTTTATCCAGCTGTATTCACTCAGTGCAACTTATAACATCCAAGTGAAAGATATAACATCAACATGTCAGAAAAAAAAAATAAAATAAAATAAAAAAACAGAATCACTGTGTTGGAAAAAGGATCACCCCCTTGTGTCAGTAATTTGTTGAACCACCTTTTGCTTTAATTACAAACTTTAGTCTGTTGGGATTTGTCTCCAGTAGTTCGGCAGAACGGCTCAAGTTCAGTTAAATTTGATGGTGACTGTTTATGGACTGCAGTCTTCAAGTCATTGCACAGATTTTCAGTGGGGTTTAAGTCTGGGCTCTGATTAGGCCATGCAAGGACATTCACCTTTTTCTCCTTCAACCACTGTGTGCTCAGTTTTGCTGTGTGCTTTGGGTCATTGTCATGTTGGAAGGTAAACCTTCTTCCCATTGACAACTTTCTAGCAGAGGGCAGCAGAGTTTCCTCAAGAATTTGATGGTATTTTGCCCCATCCATTTTTCCTTCTCTATCCTGACAAGTGCTCCAGTCCCTGCTGCAGACAAACACCCCATAACAGGATATTACCACCTCCACACTGTATACAGGTATGTCATTTGTGTTGCCCATATGACATGGGATTCTGGAGAAAAAGTAGGCATCCAAGATAAATAACAGTTTATTTTATCATCATAACATGACTCTAGTAGACAGTTTAATGTCTTGATTTGATTTTGAACGTATCATGTCATTTTATTGGTCATGCATTTTATTTGCATTTTATTTTAAATTGCTCTTAGAGTCTTGAGAATTAATACAACCTTCAGAGGATACCTTTTTTTTTGTTTTTTTTTAAGACGGCTAATGTACACACATCTTATACTGTAAATAACAAGGACAAGCTCAAACGTTTACTAACCATCTCCATGAGTAAGAAGACGAGACAATCTACTGTGTAAGAAAGTGACAGAGAGAATTCATAGAAGAGGATTAGGCTTGACTGTGCTGTTTCTTAGACATTGGAACTTGTCATTTTATTCTCACTCTTTATAAAAAGTGTGGGTTTCTTTGTGTGTATATGTGAAAGAGAGAATTAAATTGCTTTGCTCTACCATTTCATTGAGTAGTGGAACATAGAATGGGATCTCGCCTCGTCTAATCTTGTCTCCTTTCTTCTCCTTCGAGTGTCAGAGCTTGTTCCTTGGTTTTTTGCATAATGCTTCAACAATTGTGCTCTGCTGCCACTAACCTATGGGTGGTTGTTATGGTTACGATTGCTCAATCGATACATTTGAAAGAACCTCCACCTGATATCAGAGAAAGAGATATCACATTCACAATCAACTACAGCACTAAAACATTCATAGAAAGTAGATGTTTTTTTTCTCCATTACATATTTTTCATTAAAAATGTACACTAGCTGCTTATAAAAAATGTAAAATGGCTAAAACAGTGTAGAAACATATACACAGTTTTTGTTTTATCCAGCTGTATTCACTCAGTGCAACTTATAACATCCAAGTGAAAGATATAACATCAACATGTCAGAAAAAAAAAATAAAATAAAATAAAAAAACAGAATCACTGTGTTGGAAAAAGGATCACCCCCTTGTGTCAGTAATTTGTTGAACCACCTTTTGCTTTAATTACAAACTTTAGTCTGTTGGGATTTGTCTCCAGTAGTTCGGCAGAACGGCTCAAGTTCAGTTAAATTTGATGGTGACTGTTTATCTTGCCCTCAGTGTGAATATTCACTTGTAACATTTCAGATTTGGAGAAATGTAGCATTGCATCACTTGCTCACCTGTTGATCCTCTGCAGTGAATTGATAAAGCCTTTGAAATTTTTTTGTATCAATCTCCTGACTTGTGCCTGTCCACAACTTTCTCCCGGAGATCTTTTTCAACAGTGCCTTGCCACCCATAGTTGATCGTTTGCTTCAGTTGCACTACCAATGACTGAAATGCTTCAGGAAAGCTCTTTTCATGCTGAGCTGATCAAAACGACCACAGCTGATCACAGTTGAAAGTCAAATGGCTTCGTGTGCCTTTGAGAAGGTGATTAGCTACACCTGATTGAGTTTACAAGTCTTTTTTAGTAGGGGGGTGATCCTTTATCCAACTCAGTGATTCTGTTTTTTTAATAAAAAAAAAAAAATAAAAAAAATTCTGACATGTTAGTGTTATATCTTTCACTTGGAGTAAATACAGCTGGATAAAACAAAAACAAAAACTGTGTCCGTCTTCATTTCAGGCTGCCTTTTCATTTTATTTTATTTCAAGTAACGCAAGTTTTTTAAAATGTTTTTAGTTTTAGTATTAGTTAACTATAATAACCCTGGTTTCTCTTTTATTATTAATTTAATTTAATATTAAATGTGTGATAGACATTTCTGATGCTAATGCCAATTGATACCCAAAGCAAAATCTCCTTCCTGAAGTACTGTTTTACACACATTAAGGAATATATCCTTGGTTTTACTTTTAAAAACAATATTTCATTTGCAGGATAAAATGTATGCTGCCATGAAGGTACTGCAATGCAAGCTGGAGGTATTCAATAAAGCAAGACAATCTTCAGCTATTACTTTGGAGCACATTAAGGTTAATATTATATTTAATCAGATATGTTGCTTTTGTCAAAAGGTCAGCGAGTAGATTTCATCAATGTCAATTTTTTATCTTAGAATCAGGCCAATCGGGTTGAGAGGCAAATGAAGGATGAGTTTCTCAAGCTCCATCAGTTTCTTTATGAGGAGGAAGAGCACAGGTTATCAGCACTGAAGGAGGAGGAAGAGCACAGGGTCGCTGCTGTGAAAAACAGAGATGATGACGATGCACTGAGGATTTCGTCTCTTACAGACATGATCAGGACAATGGAGCAAACCATAAACGCTGAAGATTTAACATTGCTGCAGGTGAGAACATTGACATCTGTTGGAATAAAGTTCTCATTCATTCATCGAGTCATTCATTCATGTTAATCTTTTACAGAACTTCAAATCTATCATAGACAGGTAAGTATATCTATGACTTTTTTTCATTACTTTTTGTTTTTCTTTGCTGTTGCTTCTAATCTATGGTTCTTAACTGGTGGGTCGCAACCTAAAAATGTTTCGCAGTGTCACACATTAAATCCATTTGGGATGATATTTGCCCCACGTTGAGTTTTTATTATTTTTTTGTCCTATATACAATACAAAAATATATTCTCTGTGTCATTTTTATGTCAGCTACTAGTATAATCAGTGTATTAAAATTAATTCCTGAACTAAAAAATTAACTTCACAATGTATTACCTATAAGACTGAATCAACATCAGCTCACATTGTACGGGATAATACATTCAATTAAGCCTATATAGAATTGAATATTAATAAATACATCAAATGTTACAAAAACACAGGAAGATAAGTATGGCTTGTCATGAATAAAACCTGAGATTCTTTAATGATTATATTATATTTTTAAGTATTTTTTTTTAAACTTTTATATGATAAAGAATTTTCGTTTATGTTGACATGGCAAAATGGTCAAATCAAATAATAAAATAAAATAAAATAAAATAAAATGTTTGCAGAACGTGCAGTACATTGCAGGATCCAGAAGGCATGTCTGGATCTTTGTTGGATGAATCTAAGCATCTTGGGAATCTAAAGTACAAGGTCTGGGAGAAGATGAAGGCAGTTGCACCTTACAGTAAGTATCTCTAAATTTTAACCTTAATATCTCAGAGGGTTAATGTAGGATTAATTTATTTTGCTGCATAGTTATACGTATTTAATGCTGATAGTACTGCTTACTGTAAACTGTGATTTTGTCATAATAACAGCTATAATTAAATAAAACTGCAAGAAAATGTATCAAAAAAAAAAAAAAAAAAGAGAGGGAGATACACGTTTTCTTTCACAGCTGTTTGCTTTCGCTTAAGACCTAAATTACTGTGTTTATGGGGATACTTGCAAAGATTGCATTTTGACCCATACAAGTGTGTATTTAACCATTCAAGGCCTATAAAGTGGCAAAAATTACTTGGTTCAACACTCCCACGCTCTATGAGCACCATCTTCATGTGTGCGCACTTTTCTGACAGCGCTCAGATATTGTCTTATTTAGAATAAGGTAAATAATTAGATTACTGATGTCCATGTAAACGTAGTCATTGTCTCATAGTGCACGCATATAGCGGAATTAATTCTCTTTCGCAGCCTATTGCATTTTAGCAGCTTAAAATCACTTGTTTTTCAACCGCAATGCTTAAAAATGCATGCAAAATTATAATAATAATTCATTTCAGTCAGTTTATTTTATTTCAAGTAACATTTTTTTTTTAGCTTTAGTATTAGTTAACTATGATAACCCTGGTTTCTCTTTGATTATTAATTTAATTCATTATTAATTTAATTAAATATTAATTGTGTGATAGACACTTCTGATGCTGATGCCCAAAGCAAAATCTCTTTCCTGAAGCACTGTTTTACACACATTAAGGAAAGTATCCGTGGTTTTACTTTAACAATATTTTATTTGCAGGATAAAATGACTGCTGCCATGAAGGTTCTGCAATTTAAGCAGGAGATATTCAATAAAGCAAGACAATCTTCAGCTATTACTTTGGAGCACATTAAGGTTAATATTATATTTAATCAGATATGTTGCTTTTGTCAAAAGGTCAGCGAGTAGATTTCATCAATGTCAATTTTTTATCTTAGAATCAGGCCAATCGGGTTGAGAGGCAAATGAAGGATGAGTTTCTCAAGCTCCATCAGTTTCTTTATGAGGAGGAAGAGCGCAGGTTATCAGCACTGAAGGAGGAGGAAGAGCGCAGGGTTGCGGCTGTGAAGAATAGAGATGATGATAACGCTCGGAAGATATTGTCTCTTACAGACATGATCAGGACGATGGAGCAAACCATAAACGCTGAAGATTTAACATTGCTGCAGGTGAGAACATTGACATCTGTTGGAATAAAGTTCTCATTCATTCTTCATTCATGTCATTCATGTTAATCTTTTACAGAACTTCAAATCTATCATAGACAGGTAAGTATATCTATTCATTACTTTCATTACTTTTTGTTTTTCTTTGCTGTTGCTTCTAATCTATGGTTCTTAACTGGTGGGTCGCAACCTAAAAATGTTTCGCAGTGTCACACATTAAATCCATTTGGGATGATATTTGCCCCACGTTGAGTTTTTATTATTTTTTTGTCCTATATACAATACAAAAATATATTCTCTGTGTCATTTTTATGTCAGCTACTAGTATAATCAGTGTATTAAAATTAATTCCTGAACTAAAAAATTAACTTCACAATGTATTACCTATAAGACTGAATCAACATCAGCTCACATTGTACGGGATAATACATTCAATTAAGCCTATATAGAATTGAATATTAATAAATACATCAAATGTTACAAAAACACAGGAAGATAAGTATGGCTTGTCATGAATAAAACCTGAGATTCTTTAATGATTATATTATATTTTTAAGTATTTTTTTTTAAACTTTTATATGATAAAGAATTTTCGTTTATGTTGACATGGCAAAATGGTCAAATCAAATAATAAAATAAAATAAAATAAAATAAAATGTTTGCAGAACGTGCAGTACATTGCAGGATCCAGAAGGCATGTCTGGATCTTTGTTGGATGAATCTAAGCATCTTGGGAATCTAAAGTACAAGGTCTGGGAGAAGATGAAGGCAGTTGCACCTTACAGTAAGTATCTCTAAATTTTAACCTTAATATCTCAGAGGGTTAATGTAGGATTAATTTATTTTGCTGCATAGTTATACGTATTTAATGCTGATAGTACTGCTTACTGTAAACTGTGATTTTGTCATAATAACAGCTATAAAGAGAAAGGAAAAATTGAAATGGCATCATATGACCCCTTTAATATGTACACTTTAGGTACTGATATGCACCTTTAGGAGTAAATAAGGTACAAAGGTGTACCTTTTAAAAGGATACCACCACAGTGACAGCTTTTGTAGCTGTTTTTGTAGCTTTTTGACAGCTATTTTAGAGTATGTTTTCAATGTCTGTCTTCATTTGTCAGGTCCAGTAATTCTGGACCCAAACACAGCCCATCCTTGCTTGACGCTGTCAGATAACCTGACCAGTCTCCGGTATAGCACCCCAAACCAAGGTCTCCCCAGTAACCCTGAGCGTTTCCACATCAGTGCAGAGGTGCTGGGCTGCACTGCCTTTAGCTCCGCAAGCCACAGCTGGGAGATCAAGGTTGGTGACAATGAGGACTGGATCCTGGGCTTGGCCAGTGACAGTGTGAACAGCACTTCCTCTCAATATCAGACGGCATCTCCCTGCATCTCTGGCAGACACACCAGGTTGGCTGACCTAGGATAGGGTGGGGTGTGGCTGCAGGGTTTTCGGCCGATGACCACAGAATGTCAAAAATCATGCTTGGGTCTCTTGTCAGACAACGCTGCAGCAGCTGGTGACATTGTTCAAGATCCAAGCCCTGAATTTTTTCCTGATATTACAAAAAGCAAAAAAAATATAAAAAAAAAAAAAAAAAAAAAAGAGAGCGAGAGAAAAAAAGAATGGTTTGAATCATGATCAAACGATATTGAAATAACAAACTTAGAAATTTTATTTAATTCCAAACTAGTTACTTGTAAATGACAAATGAAAAAACAATTAAAGTATAGAGCATTTCATTACTCAAGTATTAGTAAATGAATCTGTACCCTTCTAAAAGGTTAACCTGACCAGTCTCCGGTATAGCACCCCAAACCAAGGTCTCCCCAGTAACCCTGAGCGTTTCCACATCAGTGCAGAGGTGCTGGGCTGCACTGCCTTTAGCTCCGCAAGCCACAGCTGGGAGATCAAGGTTGGTGACAATGAGGACTGGATCCTGGGCTTGGCCAGTGACAGTGTGAAGCGAGGTCAGGAAGTTCCTGCCAGACCAGAGAATGGCTTCTGGACCATCTGCCTACGGGATGGGCAATACAGGGCTATGTCATCACCCCCAACTGCTCTAAAAGTGGAGGAGAAACTGCAAAGGGTCTCGGTTCAGCTGAACTGGGACAGAGGGGAGGTGATTTTTTCAAACCCATTGCATCAAGAAATGATATACACTTTTAAACATGTCTTTACAGAAAAGCTGTTGCCGTATTTTTACACACAAAGTAAGCATCCTTTGCAGATCCTCTCCAAGCCTGTGTTGGTGTCTACGTGAAAGTATCATCTAATATCTAATACAGAGAACCTCTTAATAGTACACAACACATGTATTAAATAAATTCACACCTATCAAAAGATTTAAACAGGTTCAACTAAATCAGTATTGTGTAAAGTAGCCCGAGGCAGTTCTCTTAATGTGCCTGTGCAAGCTTATCCTCACGGCTAATAAAAATATTCAAACAACTGCATTTTCTAAATCTGTTTCAGTGGTGTTTGTCATTACAATACATGCATGCAGCATGAAACGCCACAACAACTTAGAAATTTTACGTTCCCAGAATGTTCTCAGAACATCCCCGCTGGTGTCAAGGACTTCGCCTAGTAACGTTCCGAGACAGTCATGATGTGGAGTTCTTTTAAGGGTTGGGGGACGTTATTTGGTGGACCTTCACGGAACATTCAGGATGTTCTCAAAACGTTTAGGGTACCATATTTTATTTTGAAATTTGATGTTCCTACAACATTCTCAGAACGTCCCCGCTGGTTTCAAGGACATCGCCTGGTAATGTTCCCTGAACTTTCTGAGATGGTCACAATGTGTTCTTCACACCTTTAGAAGGTGTGTACACATATTTTACAAAGACAGAACAGGAGAGTCCAGTTTGCAACAGAGAGTTTTGTTAAGACACTACATGTTCTCTTTTTACGTTTACATTTTTGAGCCTGAGGTTTTTTAAACCTGTGAAGACTAATCATTTTCTCCAGCATGTGCTCCTAAGAGTATACAATCAAGAACACTTTCAGATTTTTTCAGATTCAGTTTGTATTTTTAGTTGCTACTCTAATAATGTCCAATTAATGCCTCTTAGATTTTTGCAATAGCTAAAAAAAAAAAATAATAAAAAAAATCTGGTATTCGGATTTGAAACTTCTGTCCTTTTCACCAAAAAGACTTGTTCATTGATCGGATTAGTGACCCTTTTTCTTAGTTACACCATTACATCAATAGGTTGTGGCCAGAAAGTGTCCATTGGAGTATTATTCAAAGAGTTATTAAATACCAATGGGAGCTATTTGTTAACACAGAGATCTTCAATCTGCTCTAGGAGAACCACACTGCGTCCAAATATGCCTATATCCCTTTATAGTTCATGAAAAACAGCATGTTAAAAGAGTAGTGTCTAAATTCATAAAATAGTAGACGAAAAGTAACAAGATGACCTACTACTTCTACTGAGATTCTAAAGTGTGCACTTTACTATCCCACGAGACAAGTGTTGTTAAATGTAGTGAGGTGACACAGTAGATCACATGACAATGACAACATGGTGGATGTAGTACATACTTTATAGAACATAATGTTTCAATGGTTGTGAAAGTTCTTCATCAAATGTACTACCTGCTCAAATAACAACTCCTATCATAGACAGGTAGACATAAACTCTATCATAACAGAGTTTAACGCCAACCCTAATCAAACACACCTGAACCAAAATTTGACAAAATATTAATGTCAACACAACACAACCAAATAGTTTTAGCATTAATGCGATATGTACAATATATCCATTTAAATGTCAGCCTTTTGTGAAAATGATATGCGCTAAGGAATCTGTGTTGAGGACTGCAAAGAACAGCCTCTAATTCACAAAATGTTCTTCCAAACGCAGAGCGAAGGTGCAATTTGGCCTTGTGGTGTCTATTGCTGATGGTTTAACTTGTTTTTGTATGTTATATGGAAGACTGAAACAATGCAGGGCTTATACAATAATAATATTATACAATATTCATAATATTCAAAAAAAAAAAAAATGTTTTCACTTAGGTTCATAATTCAGGAATATACATTTGGATCTATAATTTGCTTGGATCATTACAAAATTGTAGACTTGAAAACTCTGCCCCATGCATATACTATAAAATTACACCACTACACTATACGATCCTATCACCCTGACTTGGTGATGTTGCAGTGATTCATGTTATCCATATCTTAACTCACCTGTAACCTGGTAAAGGACTGGGGCCAACTGTAAGCTTTGCTTGACCCTATTGATAACTCTTGAACCAACACAAACCTGAGACGCAGAAAAGATGCAGCCACTGGATGCACTCGTGGTAAGTCAGAGCCAACATTGCCTTATGGGATCACATTTTAACTTTAACCAATGTAATGATAATTATGGTTGAAAATGACAAATAACAAACGTTTGACCATAGATTAAATAGAGAGATTTATTTCGGAGTTCCATTATAAATAGCTCAAAGAAACAACTTTCCATAAAAGAACTTTCCTCATTTTTGCTCTGTTAACACATGGTGGCGCCACAAGTCTTTAAATAAATCTTTGAATGTCTATTCGGTTTTATTCAGTCACCTTTATTTATATAGTACTTTATACAGTACAGATTGTTTCAAAGCAGCTTTACAGTTATAGACAAGAATATAGTGATTCAATGATGCAAACAAAATTCAATTCTGCTGTAATATATATATGGTTATGTACTAATGCTTAGAAAGTTATAAACTATGTATAATTGAATATAGAATGGTTTGAGAAAATGAATTCAGTGTTACAGTTCATCAGACATAACTGAGAGTCTAAAACCTCCAGTACAATATATATATATGATTATCCATGAATATATGTAGCAAACTGATGAACTATGCTAATTCAGTTACTACTAGAGTAGTATGTTAAATAATTTTAATAGCATATTTCAGACGCTGTTTCAGGGAGATGTCATTCCTTTGAGGGCTTGTCTTTTTCCTTGCAGCTTAACTTCTCCACACAAGATTCTGGCAAGAATGGTACTTTCTCTAAGCGGGATAAGTAAGTTAAAGGCTGGATAGCGCTGCTGATGTTTACAAAGGCAAAACATACTGGCTGCACATAGCAAGTGAAGACCTTACGTGGATAATGGTCTTCAAAGGGGAACAGAGCCACTGGAGGGAGATAGTTGCTTATGATTATGATCAAGATAGACAGCACCATCTTAAAGGCCTTTCTTTTCATAGGATTCATCTCATCTTTACCGGAGCCTCGTGAGCGTTTCAGGGCCCAGAGGATGGCCACGTTACACACCTCCATCCAGGGGAAAGCAAACAAGACCTCACCAGTGAAAACCTTCTCAAAGTTTGGTAGGCCACTAACGGTTTTGGCCGAAGAATAAGCAAAAGTGAGCAGAAGAACCACGATGGTTAGGCCCATCCTGTATTTGATGTCCTTCAACTGTCCGAATGCGATGGGAAAGAGAACGGCTATAAAGTGATCCAGACAGACACAGGAGAGGAAGAGCGGCCCACTGGTGTCCTTCACACCATATGAGAACTTCAAAACCATCCAACCCATAGCGCTCCTCCAGTGGAAGAGATTGAGGGATGATATGATTGCCATGAATCCAAAGTAGGCGTCCATGAAAGCCAGGCAGCCCAGGAAGATATCAGAAGTTAAAGGGATAGTTCACCCAAAAATGAAAATTCTGTCATTAATTACTCACCCTCATGTCATTCTAAACCTGTAAGACCTCCGTTCATCTTCGGAACACAAATTAAGATATTTTTGATGAATTCTGAGAGCTCTCTGACTCTCCCATAGACAGCAAGGGTCCTTACATGATCAAGGTCCAGAAACGTAGCAAGGAGATCGTTAAAATAATCCATGTGACGTCAGTGGTTCAACCGTAAAATTACGGTTGAACCCCTGATGTCACATGGATTATTTTACCGATCTCCTTGCTACGTTTCTGGACCTTGATCGTGGTAATTACATTGCTGTCTATGGGAGAGTCAGAGAGCTCTCAGAATTCATCAAAATATCTTAATTTGTGTTCCGATGATGAACTTGAAAAGTTGAGGTCTTACGGGTTTAGAACGATATGAGGGTGAGTAATTAATGACAGAATGTTCATTTTTGGGTGAACTAACCCTTTAATGGTCCATTTCAGGTCTTTATTAGGTTTGCGAGGACCAGGATGTTGGCAGGTATTCCTATGATCACGTTGAAGCATTGTATTGCTGGGTCAAAAACAATACCGGCCACCCATTTCTTCATACCCATCGAACACACTGAAGACATGTGTGCAATTGACTGAATTGGTCGTCAGGTTAGAGGAGGGCAGGCTGCTTCTGAGGATGTAGCTGAATCTTGTGTCGTGGCGCAGTCGACCCTCCATGATGTCCGAAGAGCTGAAATGAGATTCTAGAAGGAACGGTGAAAATTATGTTAATTGAACTTACTAATATGCCAAGCTCACAAATTCATTTTTTAAAATATAATATCAGACTGACTGAAATCAGGAGACTGAAATCAGAAGACTGGTGCACAGTGTTTTTCTGTCTGTTTCTTGTATCATTTTGTGCTGATAGTGCATACAGTATACTTCACAGACCTAAACAATTCATGCTTTAATATTTTGCAAAAGAATTGAAAAAATGTTCTGAAAAAGAATTTCATTAGAGGAGAAGTTTATTTGCAACAGCAAAGGAAAATAATCAACCTTTAGTGAGCATGTCACACTACACAAGACTGCTGACTTTGCTGGACGGCAAAAGAAAAATATTTTACAATTTCCCAATTTAGTTTGAAAACGTTGGCCAAAATTTTTTGTTTGTGACATATTTGTTTATTTAGAGTTTTTTGTTTGTTTGTTTTAAACCTCGACACTGAATAATATAAATATTTCAGTCATGAGTCACGACAACTTTCTAAATAGTTTTTGCATATTAATGGTTATGACAATGTTAATGTACTTGGTTTTGGCAAACTAAATCTGTCAGCAAACTAATCAAAGCAAGTACAGAGACTTGCTACTGCCAATAGATATACAGACACACTGCTGTAAGCATATGAGATATGCTGCTGCATGGATAGGCATACATAACTCGTATAGCAGATCTAGAAGTGGAGCTGGGGAGGTAGATGGTTTCAGAGTAGTGTTAATTTTATCAGCTGTTTTTTAATTTAGTCCTGTGTCAAATGTCCTTTTAAGTTTTTTATAATATTTACTGTTTTTATGTTTAGTCTAGTCAAGTGTTAGACGACTAAAAGTCTGGGAATTATAGTCTAGTTTCAGTCAATTAAAACTTTGTCACATTTTAGTCATGCTGCATGATATTTAAACTGATAATCACAATTATTTTGCTAATAGTTTTCTTATTGTGTCCATGAGACAAACCAGAGCAACGATTGTGGATCATGTCACATTTTGTGATCTAACAATACTCAGCTACCACAAACAGACACGAGGAT